AACTGTCTCATTATAGGCACTTCAGAGTGAGACTCACCTGACGTTTACCTAAAATGGATGGCTATTTCCTTGTCTTTACTAAAAACGGTATTTCCCTGAAAGTTGACTGTTGTTTATCATTTACTTGCTGCTGATGCTACTGCTGTGTCTAGGGCAGACCATCCATAATGTACTTAAACTCTCTCTGCAGGCTAAACGTGCGACCAGACTTGATGAAATTGTAAATAGCACCTTCTTTCATTTTCAGTGGTTGGATGATAAATTTTATGGTCACCCTCTCAATTTATAAGTAAAATTAGAAAAAAAGAAAAAAGAAAGAAAGAGTGCTAAAGCATAATAAATGTGTCTTGATTCCCCAGGACCCCTATAGGGATACAAGAATGCCAACACATGGATTCCATAAAAATTCCATGGCATTTATGATGTAACTGATGAGCTGAAAGGAATAAAATTTATGTTTGCTGGGCGCGGTGGCTCAAGCCTGTAATCCCAGCACTTTGGGAGGCCGAGGCGGGTGGATCACGAGGTCGAGGGATCGAGACCATCCTGGTCAACATGGTGAAACCCCGTCTCTACTAAAAGTGCAAAAAAATTAGCTGAGCATGGTGGCACATGCCTGTAATCCCAGCTACTCAGGAGGCTGAGGCTGGAGAATTGCCTGAACCCAAGAGGCGGAGGTAGCGGTGAGCCGAGATCGCGCCATTGCACTCCAGCCTGGGTAACAAGAGCGAAACTCCGTCTCAAAAAAAAAAAAAAAAAAAAAAATTTATGTTAAAAAATACAGATGATAGATAATAGCCTCGTTTTCTAAGAAGCATGTAAGCATGTAACTTGCAGGCCAAAGCTGTCCAACATGGTGGGTAAGCCTAGGTTCTTCAGGACTCAGTGAATGTGAATCTCAGCTCTAAATACTTATGGGCAGGTTGACTTTAGGCAGCTTACCTAATCTCTCTAAGCTAGAGTTTCCTCACCTATAAAAAAAGTAGATATTAATTGTTTTTATAGCAAAGGATCATGTGTGGATTAAATGAACAACACGTGTCAAAACATTTTGCACAGTGCCCATCATATGCCATGCACCCAATGTCAGTTGTTATTATTATTATCCTTAGTGAAGCATAATTCAATTGGTAAACAGGGCATGTAACTGACCTTCTGGATACAGTGCAGATACATTCCTAAGTATCACATAAAAGAAGAGCCCATTAGTTCTAGTTTTCTTTTTCTCAATATTAGAGTAGGATAAAGTCATGGTTGATTAATAAAAATAAAAACAGACATGATACAAATCTGTATAACTTAAGATTCTAAAATAATTGAGTCATTCTTCTATTTTTCACTTATTCAATTAGTATTTATTCAGAGTATAGTACAAGTAGGTCATTTTAATTAATACTGTAACACATACTTGAACTTATTTCCACCTACAGATGAACAATGCTACTAAAGAATATGTCCCCAATTCTTTGCATAAATTTGTTCGATTAGACAAAATGAAAAAAATGCTTTTAGTCATCAAAACTAAACTATGAAACTTTGAAAAAACTTACACCTTTTAAGATTAAATTTTGAATTGGATCTGAGATATTCTGAAGTATACTGGCAGGGGAGAGTGGAATGAGGTTAGTGGAGTGAACACAAACATCAACTCTCTACAGTACAATGTAAAGGAATATAATCACTAAATTTCATAGGGAACAGTAACAGGGTCTTCCTCTGTCTCCCGGCCTGGAGTACAGTGGCAATCATGGCTCAGTGCAGCCTCAAACTCCTTGGCTCAAGTAATCCTCCTGCCTCAGCCATCCAAGTAGCTGGAACTACAAGCAAGCACCATGCCTGGCTAATTTCTTTTTTATTTTTTGTAGAGACAGGGTCTTACTATGTTGCCCAGGCTGGTCTCAAGCTCCTGTCCTCAAGCGATCCATCCTCCTTGGTCTCCCAAAGTTCTGAGATTACAGGTGTGAGCCACCACACCTGGCCTAAAATTCTTTACGTTTAAAACCAATGCATTATACTATTAGAATAAAGGATAAAAATAAGGTTTGCATTTGTACCATCCATGAAACATGATGAACAAGAAAAATTTAAATAAGTTGAAAGCAACATAATCTGTGTAACAGTTTAGGAATTAGAACTCCTTTTGCTCATAAGACTTAATTCACTTTTAAAGAAAATATGACTGAAACTTTATTCTGTTTTTCAAATAGAAGCAAATACTGAAATTATAAAGGCTTATTTTTCTTTATTAGAATATTTTTTCAATTTTATTTGTCACAATTTAGATTGTTTTTCTAGGAATAAGTAGAAATTTAGAAAATTTAATTTTTATTTATACATTTATCCATTCAATACACATTTCAAGACATCTCTATTGCATCCTTTGTGATAGCTACAGGACAAAGAAATAAAATAATCCAAGAGAGACCAATAAATGTATATTTATAACACAGTAATGAACACAAATAAATGTGGAGTTATTTAAGAATGTAGAATGGTATATGCTCTACTCAGTACGGGGACTTCTACAAGACACAAGATCAGATTAAAGTCTTAAAAGATAATCTGGGGTTAGTCAAGCAGGTAGAAGTATGAAGAGCACTTTCTGAGTGGAATCTCCATGTGCCAAGTCTAGCTCAAGAGACTGGGGAGAGATCAGCAATTTGGAGTATGTGATATTAAGAAATGGCGAAGGTGAGCCTACAGAGATTCCACGTGGTACCTGTCACTTTAAGTTGCATAGTGAGGTTTGTGTTTGAGAAAGTAGACTCAGGCAGCCATGCAAAAGAGAGATGCATAGAAAAGGAGACTGAGGTAGGAAAATCAAGGCATTAACTGTTGTAGCTGGTGTGAGCAGACTTGGGGAGGCAATAGGGTGGATTCATGAGCTACTAAAAAGGTCAAAGGAGCAGGGATTCCTGACCCGTAAGTATTACAATTCATACAGAAGAAGAAAATATCACAATGAGTTCTAGATCTGAGCCTAAGCAGCTAGATGTTCGGATAATAACAAAAAGACTGCAAAAGAAGATCTGCACTTTGGCATAAATGAATATGAAAGTATCTGGGAATTTTATGCCATCATTAAATCTACTTATTATGCTGAAAATCCTTGTTAGCTGGAAAGATTAAAAGAATTTCCCAATGTGCCTAATACATAAACTTGGAGTAGTTTTCCTACTTCAGCTTTTATGCTGCTTATTATTTGTAGTCAATTTATGGTTGGTCACTATTAGTTAAACCATTTATCATCTTTATGAGATTGGTTAATGGAAGCAGCCCATTTTTAATCCAACAGTGGTGATTTTCTAGACCTCTAAAGAGAATATTAAAAGCCAAAAATCAACTTTAATTTTTGAGTACTTTTTCTACTTAAGGTTACTGAAATAAATTCTTTGCTAGAAAAAACTAAATAGCACTGCAATTTAAAATTCAATTTATTTTATAGAAATATTTCGGATTATTTTATCTTCAGGAAGCAATTCTTCTTACTTGAAAACTGTATCAGCCCCAATGGTTAGTGGTAGTAAAATGGAAGAATGCATACTGCAGATGAGCTACATATTTGTTTTCTTGTGTTCTACAGTCCCACTCACAAATACACTGCATTGAATTGTATTTAGTCAAACAGCAGGTTTGACTAATAGTTCCCTGAATCCAAATAGTTTAGATTAATTAAACTGATTGGTTATCTGTCATTACATGGATATCACCCAAGATGATGTTGTTAAAATAATAATGAATTAAACTGCCGGGCGCGGTGGCTCAAGCCTGTAATCCCAGCACTTTGGGAGGCCGAGGCGGGTGGATCATGAGGTTAAGAGATCGAGACCATCCTGGTCAACATGGTGAAACCCCGTCTCTACTAAAAATACAAAAAAACATTAGCTGGGCATGGTGGCACGTGCCTGTAATCCCAGCTACTCAGGAGGCTGAGGCAGGAGAATTGCTTGAACCCAGGAGGCGGAGGTTGTGGTGAGCCGAGATCGTGCCATTGCACTCCAGCCTGGGTAACAAGAGCTAAAACTCCGTCTCAAAAAAAAAAATAATAATAATAATAATAATAATGAATTAAACTAAAATAAATGCATGGCCCTGAGACCAAGAATAAAAAGCAGTTTGCCATTACCCAGGGATGTATTCAAGTTCAACAAACTTGTATGTTGAGTTAATATGCTTTACAACAAAGTACTGCATTTTGCTATAGCAGCAAAGTATTGAGCAGCTTCCAAGTCACTACCTTATGTGTATTCTTCATAGCAGTAATATTGGTAAACATTAGCTACCATATAATTTTCACTACCAAAATTCTATATTTTTCTTAGCCAATACATGGAATAAGTTTTTATAAAGTATTTCTTTCAAATCATTGAATTCTTCCTCCCTAACCTTTAAATCCCATAGTCACCAAGAATCATGGGTTCCTCACCATCACTCTTTGCTTCTGTTCTTAAAGTTGTTGTTCCATGAGCAGTGGGACACTGGACCCACCAGCTCCAAGGACACATCATGGTCATTTACCCGGTACCCTGTGGCATGATTTTAATATTTCAAGCACTGACAACTTTTCACATCGATTCAGATTTTGTAAGATTTGATTACAGTGAGTTTATAAAACATTTCAGTTATATATGCAATAGAAACGAAGTATCCTATTTTTGAAGATAAGTCTAAGGCATTCGCAGCAATATAAAAGAAGTACTTTAGTACTTCTGGATTTCAGTCAAGGGAATTATTATTGTAAAGCTCTAATAATACATGTTTAGATATTTAACCAGCCATAGATACCAGGAAACCAGGTATTAAATCAAAGACACCAGGAAACCATGAGTCACAAAAACATCAGTGTAGCAGTGTTGTATGTATTACGACTATATGGACCTGCACCCTAAAACATGAACAAGAGTGTACCTTAGAAGTTCAAAACCCTACTTAAAGACTAAGAAGCACTTTAGCCAGGTGGGGAAAGCAGTAGTTATGAGTGGAATAAAGCCTGGAAAATCTGCTTTTTTAGTGACAGAGCTTTAGGGCAAGCACACAGTTTTACTTATTTGCCTTAAGTCAATATTTCCAGCTAAAAGGTATGTTTTTCTTGTGGAGATTGCAGAATAACTACCACTAGCAAATGCAGAAAGTATTCATTTCAGCTTGGCAGAGCCATACTTTTTCACTATCACGAGATGATCTTTACATGAAAATTGTTACACATAACGTCTATAATAAGCATGATTTAAAAAAATAACTTTCTAACGCAAATGGCAAAGGCTTTCTTTTTCATGAATTCTTTGGTAATAAATAGGTTTTGAGTGATTTCTGTTCTATGAAGTACTGAGTGACTTTGCTGATATATGTTCTGTGTGTCCTTTGAAGATCAGAATATAATTAATTTTATTCTGGTCTAATATATTTTTTCCGATTTGCATTGCTTTTATGTAATATAATTACAAAATGAAAATATACCTTTAGAACTGAGATAGCATATATTATTGATGAAGCTCCTGCTGAGCATGTTGCATAAGCTTTTCATCCTTTTAAAACTAAAAACTCAGAGGTTTGTAACAGGAAGGATAAACAAAGCTAAAATCTGAACTCTGTTTATCGTCCTATGATTCTTGACATGATGTTTTGCATTCACTGGCCCGTAGATTCCTGAGTTAAATAAAGAATAATGAAACATAATTAGTATGTTCTGGTTATACTATAGTAACTTACTATCGCTTTAGCAAAGCAAAAAGTACTGGAAAGTGAAGGATCCAATCTACTGCCAAAACAAAGAGCTCCTATTCTAATGTTGATGAACTAAGAAATTTTGAACCTAATTTGCAAAAAAGTTAGCTAATGTGCATAAGTTTACACCCTCAAATATATGGCAATATATGAGACTAAAATAATAGAAAGTCCAGAAAATTTGAGAGGAAAACAAATAAAGCTACATGAAAAACTGTAAAAGAAACTAGCCCATGGTGATAAAATAAAACATACAGCCAGTGCAGAAGATTTACTTCTGGATTGGTGGCTATGTGTCTTCTGGTAAAAAAAAGATAGTATTTATGTTTGTGTAACTATTCTGTAGATTTTCCCCTACAACAGTGTAAACAAGCATATCCAAGCACATCATAAATGACCAGGTTTTTTATGGAACTAAAAAAAAAAGCAACTGATTAATAGATAGCCTATGTATATTGAATTGTACCTTTTATTTGGAATATCACTCGGAAGTAACTTACATTTTTTCTGAGCCTGGGAACATTATTTTCTATACCATTGCTATCATCTGATTTCCTGCATAGAAAACAAAAAAGAAAATTACTAAATGTTTACATTACATAAAATTAAGTCTGTACATCACTGATACCATGGCTATCAGATTAAAATGTAAGATGTCCAATACAGACAGAATTCTTTTTTCCTAAAAATGTTTTACTTACAATGTTGAATTTATTTTGATGACATTGCTTGAAGAGGAGCTGTTACCACAGATAATAGTGGCTTATTGATTTTATGCACAGGGAGAATTGCTTCTCCCCAAGCATGAGTGAGGACTTGGGCATTTATGACCATAACTGATGTGTGGTTTTGGAAACCTGCAAGGTAACAGCTAATTAGGAGGTCAGCCAACATGTGTGATTTGGGTGCTATATACTTGTACGCTTATTACACTGAATTAGTGGTTAAACATGTTTCTTTTTCCACCCAAAGTTCATCAGAGCAGCACTACAACTGTGGGCCTCAGATTCTAAGGCTGAACTAAAACTAAATAACCAGTATGCATAATGAATACCTTGTCCTTCAAGGTCTTGGAGTAGGCTTCAAGCATCAAATCATAACACATATCATAAGACAGTGTTACTTATAATTAACTAATAATATTTTCTTAAAAAAAAAAAAGAAAAAGAAAAACAAATCCCACCGAGTCCTTCTTTTTCTTTGGTGTGTACTCTTCAAAAGCAGAATAATGGCCACTAAAAAACCACCTCAGCAACTATTTCAAGAAATGGTTTGAAGGGCATCAAAACACTCATTGCTCTGAATGAGTTCAAGTGCCCTTGATAATTTGTATACAATCTAAAGATAGTGAAATACCCTAAAGATAGTGAAACACCCTAAAGATAGTGAAATACCCTAAAGATAAGAAAAACTAAACCCCTTCAGTGATCTTTATGGTGTTGTACATGATGAGCACAAGATGTGTATTATCCCAACTTTCAGAAAAAAATTCATTTTTTACACTACAGATTGAATAAATTTTACATTGTTTAGAAGTGATATTCCATTCTACACTGTTCTGGCACCATCCTTTCAGAGTGTGTTTTGAATTAGAATGCAACCACCAAACATGAGCTAGAGGAATGGTTAGAGACAGTGGGAGGCAGAGCTGGGAGAATAGAGGAATCCGAGCAAGGTTCTGTCTTCGAATATGTCAATGACTGTCATGTTATTTATATGATGCTAAGAATAAGAAAAAGACCAATACATGGAAATCAGAAAGATTTAAAGTTCAAATCAACATAAATGTCTATGTTCTCCAGAAAGATAAGGGATTGTCTTGGAAGAGAAACAATTCCCTTCCATCTATAGGAGTCTATGATTCTAAGACAACGCTGCTTTTTCCTACCTGGGGTTACAGGATTTCTGATGTAGTTATTTTGTGCCCTTAATTTGGAAGCTCATATCACGTTGGTTTATTTTACCAGCCTACGTGAACTGAGTAAACATGATTATTTCAATAATGTCTACAAACACCTAAATGACAAACTGTGTGCACCACTCTCGGTGTCTGTGTCTGTAACACTCACCCACTCCACAGAGTTCCTGTTGGCTGATAAACTCTAAGTGCCATTTTGTGTTGGTAATAGTTGCTCAGGCCTTCCACTTCTCAGGTTTTTTAAAGCAACTTTAATCTAGCCTCATTTTCCTGGTCCCCAGCCCTTGGCTCTGTTGCTCAGACTTTATCGCAATCTTAAGGCACCTCTGTTACTGGCCTCCACACTCAGTTATCTGGCTTGGAGGAACTAGGAACGCCCATCTTTGCCAAACTAAATTACATCCCTGGTGATTTTATTCCCAGACCTCCTCATGCTTCACTCTAAACAATGGAGGCTGTGTAAGAGAAACTTGGCACAATTTATGTTCACTGAATGACAATAACTAGTAGAATTCTAGGCCAGTGATTTTCAACAGACAGAGGATCAACACCATGTTAGATGTTTTCAAGAAATAAAGATGCCATAGGCCCAACCCAAGAAGTTCTGATCCAGGAGATTCAGTAAGATCTGAGCAACTTTATTTTTAAAAAGACTCTTAAGTGATCAAAGCAGCCTGGGTTGAGAACCATTGCTTTAATAATATTAAATACTTCCTGATGGTTACTGCACACCTTCTGTGCACCAAAACCTATGCTATGCATTTATATATACAGTATTCATTCCATCCAACAGTCTCATGTGGTAAATAATACTATTAAACCCATTTTGTAGCAGAGAAAGCAGAAGTCTAGAGCAGTGCAGGCAGTAAGTAATGAAGAGGGATTCTCATGCAGGCAGGTACACTCGGAATGCTACTTTTCACCACCACATCGATGAATACAGAAAATTCTCCTCTGCTTTGTTCCCCCCTAACTGCAAACATTTCATTCAATTTTATATTTCCCTGTATTTTACTCAAGTGAAAAATAATCTGTAAAGAATAATACTCACAGCTGTTCAATCTGCTCAAATTCTCTCCCCTCATCTGAGTAAAAAAAAGAAGAATTTTACTATGAAGTTGATTTGTCACTTTTATGGAACACATGTGCTCAATTAAACCTCCTTCCTAAGTAAGAAAGTACTGTGCTCTTTCTCCTGTTTGAAATGAAGGAGAGACACGACACTTTACACAGCTACAGCTCCTTCATCTGCACTATGGGCCTTATCTGCTTTTCTGATCAAACATAGTTTACTGGCCTGGTATTTTCAAAAATATGACTGATTAGTTTGTCGTTATTTAAATATTTAAAAGTTTAGTACAAAATCAGGAAAGAATACAGGATGCAAGGTCAATTTTCTCGAGGGATTATGGTTTTCTCAACCTGTAACCCATCAGGCACAGGCTGCAAAAATAGAAAAATAGGAAATGGCAGGACAGTGTTTTTTTTCTTTTCTTTTCTTTTCTTTTTTGAGGGAGTTTCGCTCTGTCACCCAGGCTGGAGTGCGGTGGCACGATGTTGGCTCAGTGCAACCTCTGCCTCCCAGGTTGAAGGGATTCTCCTGCCTCAGCCTCCCAGGTAGCTGAGATTACAGGCGCCTACTTCCACACCCAGCTAATTTTCTTTGTATTTTTAGTAGAGACGGGGGTTTTACCATCTTGGCCAGGCTGGTCTCGAACTCCTGACCTCCTGATCCAACTGCCTCAGCCTCCTAAAGTGCTGGGATTATAGGCATGATCCACCATGCCCAGCCAGGACAGTCTCTCTTTGATAAGGAACTTTGGAATGGTTAATAAAATATTTTTTGAAATGATTATCTAAGTGAAAGAAAAATTGTTTCTTTGAGATCTTTGATATTAAGCTATCACAGATTTTTCTAATATTCCAGTGCCAGAATACATGTCACCTAATTGGTGCTTGGGTACCAGTAACACCAAAAAAGGGAGGGTGGGGTGGGGAAGAGAAAGAAAAAAAGGCATTTTTAATGCTAAGTTTTTGCAGAAACTGAAACAGAAAGATCATTGATATATGTTCCTAGCTCACTGTCACAAATACTGCTCCACATAAGAAAATTAATATTTTTCCCCAAAAATCCTAAAGTCATTGCAATGTATCAAATCATAATCCGAATCATAAGTAAATGATACTTATAATTAACTGATAATATTTTCTAAAATAAAGAAATCCCACCTGAGTGCTTCTTGTTCTTTTGTGTGTACTTTTCACAAAGCAGAATGATGGCCACTAAAAGAACCACCTCAGCCACTATTGCAAAAAATGGTTTGAGGGGCACCAAATAGCTCAGCACCACAAGCTCAATGTGTCCTTCACTCTCGCCTAATTGGAAGAGTGCACGGCACCAGTAAGAGCCCCCATCTTCCTCCAACAGTTGTTTTATCTTCAGCTTTGTTTCGTTAGCATATGTTTCATTGATCACATACTTATTCATTTGAACACCAACAGGAACCTAATATAAGGAGACATTAAAATCCATTCCTATCACAGTATGTAAAAGATACATGATGTAGTTTTTGAGTGAAAGCTCTAAGATCATGCCAACAAAATTGTTTACTAGAGAAAGGCATATTAAAATGTGTGACAGGTTATAACAGACTTAAGTCTTATCAGAGTCTGATCTCCCAGGGAGCAAAGAAAAGAGGTATACATTGCTGTAAGGATTTAGCACTGAATGTTTTAAACTACAAAGAAGCAAGCAGGTCATCATGGCTAAATATTACATAAGAATTAAAAACAGAAAAATCCCAGTCACCCGAGTCTCACATTCCTATCCTTGCCTAGTGCCTTAGTCAAAGTACTTTTTTCTTCACAAGCACAGGCACCCATTCAAACAACTAGCACCCTCGAAGCTACTATTGCTGACCATTCCTATAAAGGAAAATCACTCATCTGGACAATGGGATTTCCCCAGGCTGGAAATGAAGATGAAATATTCAGGCCTTTGGAGCTGATATAGATAGACTAGAGGGAACCCTCCGTGGGCCTAGGGTCCGAAGTGAACTGCACACCTTCTATCTTTACATAAATGAATTTGTCTCTCAGATAAGCTGGCTTCTAAGATTTCCTGGGTTTTCCACAGCCTCACAAGGTGCCATACTAAGCTATTTAGGGCTGTTTTATTTAATCTATTTAAATTAAATTTTATTCCCAAGCCATTGGATGCTTTCCCTGCTCCCTCATTCAACTGCACTGTAAAATAAACACTAATCTGGATCCATATATTCACAGAGACTATCCAAGGAAGAACTGTCTGTGAGTATATTATTTGCGCAAAAAAAATTACAGCGATCTGGTACCATGTTCACGGCTCTGCCTGGGATGTTTGGTACTGACTGATTGCAGCTGATCAATCAAAGTACCATAGTTTTAATAAGTACCCAGCTGCTTCTGATGCACATGGTTGCTCTATATTTGAATAGGTATTTGTGCTAAAGTTTTGACTTATGCCCTATTCCCCAAACTTTTCTCACACCCTAATACAACTCATGCTTAGAGTCAAATTAAGAGGATAATTACTAGAAAAGCAATGGACAAAAGCACCGATACATCTAAAATGACATTTTCAACATCTGATATAATTAGACGGAGGCTAATATTTTTCACGTATTGTTGTATCACATACATATCAATAAATAAGGCAGTGTATTTCAAATACCATGGTTGACAATTTGTTTTTACAAATTTATACTTAAAAAAAAATTATATATACACAATGATTGCCTTTCCTCAACATCCATCAGAAGACAAGCAGGAGTAGGTATGGCTTACGTCTACATCTATGGGATTTGGTTGGAACTATTTCATTGAAAAACTAAACCTGTTGCCACAGAATCAGTCACATTCCCTTCTGAGTCCTTTATCTGTCATCCAACAATAGTCTATAATAATACCAATTCTGTCTAAAAAGGAATTTAATATTTCATTGTAACATCTATACTCTCTCATATGTTCCTTCTAGAGTTATAGCTCACCTTGAATGGAACTTTATAATGCTTATTAACACCAGCGCAAAAGAAGGGTGTCTCTTAAAGGACAATGTCCTAAATTTTCCTGCCATTAGAGGCCATTTGGAAAGAAGACAGGAAACCAGAAATTATTTACAAAATACTCATGTTTTTCTTAGTATCAGCTCTTTGAATAGCCATTTCTCTTCGTAAAAAAGAAATTAAAAGTATTTGGCTTCTGTCAGGTATCTTAAAGGCTATTTAAAAAATGGCACTTACTGATAGAACCCAAGATGTAAGTTTAAGTTAAAAAGTTTTCATTCCTTTCTCAAATAGTACCATTATTTTGCATTCTATCACAGATATTCAGAAGCAGAAACCCAAAAAGGTGGCTAGAATTTTTTCTAGTTACATTCATGGAATGATTTTTAAAAAGAATCTTTTCTGCTGGGGTTATTTCTAAACTAGGCAACTATGTATAAAATGTAACTTCTTTTCAAATAATATAAATTGTTAAACCTAAAAAACAAAGTACCAGGTAATGAAACAGGAAGAGTATCTTCATATGTACAATGTAAACATGCCCAAAACCATCAAATGACAACTCCATTGATCACTGCTCTTTATGAACACATGCTAAAGAAGAAGAAAGTAAAAGTATAAGTCATCTTAGGAAAGTTGAGTCTGTTACAATCTTGTTATTTATTAAATAAATAGTGGCTTTTTTTGTTTTCTTCAAATCAAGGAAATATCTTACCTGTACACTCCCATTACTATGGTACCAGGTCCAATTTAAAGGAACACAATTTTGACATTTACATGTCAAGACAGTAGAATCCCCCACATAAGAGATCAATGGCTTGTTTTTCCCATGAAGTTCAGGGACTAAGAATAAAACAGAGAAATGTATGTTACTGAAAGAGTTTAGGCAAAGGAAATGTATTAAATTTGTTGATATTGTCTCCTTTCATTTTTTCATTAATACATTATTTTATACACCTTAAATTATATGTAAATGAAACTAGTAGTCGTAATAATAGTAGATAGATTCAATATAATTGTCTCCAATGTATAGAAATGGAAGGTCTTCTATTATTGAGCCTAACAACAAAAGTATTGTTACTTTTGGGATAAGTTACATGTTTTGGATAAGAAAGAGGCTTCATGTTTTCAAACCTGTTCTTTCTTCCCACCTACTAAGCTATCTTGCAATAATTACGTTCTTCAAAGTTTTAACCTTAGGTAGCACTTGAGTGAAAAGATAAAATTTCCAGGATAGGAAGTCTTTAGTTGATACTAATTTATGAGGAGCCAGCAAAGAGTTGGAGAAGGTAGGAACAAGGAACAAAGGAAAATTAACAGAAAGAGAACAGTGTAAGAAAGAAAATAAGATTTAAAAACACTTTCATGTGGTTTTGTACAAAATATATATACTAACATCTATTACGATAAATTTCCTAGTCAAGAAAGTTTGAAGTAGATTCCATTAGAAACAGAATACAAATGAGCACTGAATTTATTTTAAAAAAAAAGAACTTTTTTAAAGTTTATTTTATTGTGTCTAAGAATGTAAATAACTTGGTAAAAAATACTAAAATATAAGAGCATAAGCAGCATAATGAAAATCCTATGATACAATCAGATCCTTCTGATTGACCTTGAAGGATGTATTACACTGAAAACTGTAGACTCATCAACAAACATTATTTTGTTGATTTTTTTTTTTGTTTTACTTTTTCTAATTTTAGCAGGTTTTTGCTTTTTTGGTTTTGTGCGTCTGTGTGTGTACACATGTATGTGTTTGTGTTTTTACTTTTTTCATTTATATGTTTAGTTTGCCAGTAGGCAAAAAGAATGGGTGAGATTATAATGTCAGCTAAAGACCTGCAGATAATGAACCTGGAAACCATCATTCTCAGCAAACTGACACAAGAGCAGAAAATCAAACACCGTATATTCTCGCTCATAGGCGGGTGTTGAACAATGAGAACACATGGACACAGGGAGGGGAGCACTACACACTGGGGTCTGTTGGGGGGAAATGGGGGAGGGGCGGGGGGTGGGGAGGTGGGAAGAGATAGCATGGGGAGAAATGACAGATACAGGTGAGGGGACGGAAGGCAGCAAAGCACACTGCCATGTGTGTACCTATGCAACAATCTTGCATGTTCATCACATGTACCCCAAAACCTAAAATGCAATAAAAAAAAAAGAAAAAAAAAAAAAAAAAAAAAAAAAGACCTGCAGATAAGCAGAAAGTAAAGCCTAGCTAAAATATAGATTATTTTCTGAAGCCACAAGGTTCCCTATAACCTCAGAGGGAGGGCAGCCACACTTCTGAGTTCCAGGTGAAGAGGCACAAGAGAGGCACAAGAAGCATTATTGCATTATTGGTGCAATGACGTCTAGAGCCCTGTTAGACTGGCCTTAAACACTGCTTTGAAGTGCAGGCTTGTGTTGGACACTAAGTAGTTAAGGGCACAGTTTCTGCTTTCCCAGGTTGTTTATCTCTCAGAGATCCTATTTCTCAATCTCTACATCTTTCTTTCTGGCAGTTGAGTCATGCTTTAGCAGGAAAATATGTGTTGAAATAGGTTCAAAATGCTGAAATGTACCCACAGGATAAGAGTAAAATGTGGAAGAAAGGTAATCTTGGGGAAAAACCTGGCAGAACATACACGACTTTTCAGTATGCCTCAAAGTCACCTGCTTGGGAAGCATACTGGAAGTTGCAAGGTGCTTTTCAAGAAAGCTGGGCATTTTATAAGACTTGATGAGGAACACATGACTATGCTATTAAATCATCTCAACTAAATGTTAAGATCAGGCTGTAAACTGCAGGTAACTGACAATGACTACTGACACATGAAAAAGTTGAGACCAAAATTCTGTTTTCTTGCCATCTCTTCAGTTTTCTTCATTAAATGACTAAAATACCATAAACCATACTTTTGTTCTGCTATATATGGTTAACAACAGCAGTGTGAATTTAAATTATAAAATGTACCATGTTCATGGAACATGACATTTGTTTGAACTATTGTGGGGCTTGGGGCCACAGCTTATATTTGGAAATATTTATTAATATAAGGACAGTGAGATAGTATTCTAATGTGCCCTATTGACCTTTTCAGATTTTGCATAAAGTAGGATGCATATGAGTGCTGGGGTTGGAATAAACCAGGTTTGAAGGTGGTGAAATTGCTGATTCAGGCTGGTGTCTAGGAAGATGGGGTTTGGAGCTACCCAGTGAAAGTAACAGCTCTCTGAAGTTGTAAAATTGGAGACTATATTTGTATATTCATGAACTAGGACAAATTGGCCTAAATGTCATGTTGGTTCAAAGACTTTTAGGTGTCACCAAATTAGGAAAAGAGATTACTCCAAATAGTCAAAGACAGCTAACTATACTTCAACACTGGGATTCAGGGCTGAAGTCCCAGCTGATTCTATTATGTTACCTTTCCATACTTTGAATTTTTAGATACTTCCAGGGAAAGACAGATAGCTGAGTTATGCAGGCTTCACTGCATTTGGTACTATCAAAATCTCATCATGACTTTCAAAGGCTCTTTTTGGAAGAAAATTTAAATTTCTGCATACTTTCTACTAAGAGATTTTAACATTGATAAATACCACGGTAGCTTTCAGCAACTACTCAGAATATTTGACCCACTACTGAGAAACACTACAGACCATCACTCAACTTTCTCTTTCTTGAGTGACAAGTAATCAGCAACATATTAGCAGTCACAAGCTTCCAGTGTACACTTTTGCTGTCTCTTCTGTCCTGGTATCAACAATTAAACACATAAAGTCAGCAGGTTTTTGTGCATTGAACTAATCAGTAATCTCGAGCGCCTTTTACAATTTTATAGTAATAAATCAGCTGGTTCCCGTAAAGACAGAAGCAGGGACTTTGCTGATGAATTGTTCTGAAGGCTCGGGCTCATGCACTATCGGTGGCTCATGTAGTCAATGGCAGAAAAATTTATCTTTGGCTCAATTTAAAATAGAGAATAAAACAGACTTTTCATCAACATGCAGCTGTAATACTTGTAAGGAAAGATAATTATTATTCTTAGGAAAAACCATAAATAAACCATATGAAGAAATAATAGCACATTTATAAAAATAAACATCACGTTATAAGCCTTTCAGACCTATTAAATAACTATAATATAATATGCAGATGTCTTTAAATTCTACTCAAGTAAAATTATTTCTCCAAGCAATATTCAATTTAGATGAATTATAGAGAATTATTATTTTACCAAAGAATATTTGAAAGGACCCAACTTACTAATTTTATAAATATCTTCAAGATATAATACATACTTAAAAGTTACATTAATGTTAAATGGGCATTAAAAACAAAGTGGCTAACCTAAACTGCTTCAAGACAACTAGAAAAGAAAAAAAAGTAAATATTCAGTGATTCTTTGCTTTCCTTAAAGCCTTGATTTAAATCCTAGGCCTTGGTTCAATGCTCCTGACACCAGCCAAAATCAGCTTAGTTACCTCAAAACAGCTGTCAAGAGGCTTTTCCTATCAATATCTGGCATTCAACATATTGGTATGTTGAAAAGTAAAATGCTTGTTAATCTTCGCATTAAACACAAGAATGATCACTTCCACATAATGATTTAAGTAATAATGAAAACTTACAAGAAAAATGTATTACCTTCAATATTTAAAGCAGGTATGACTAGTATATATTTCCAGAGCACAAAATGTCTTAGAAAAAAAAAAAATGAAAACAGTGTTTAAAGTTGAATATCTTGGGAGCACTTTAAGTCACAAGATTCTGTGAGCATTTCCTCAGGATTTGTAGGCCTTCCTTAAATATGTTCTCAATAAAATATGTTCACTAAAATTTTGTGTATGTATTTAATATTATTTTTGCTCATTGGGAAGAAAGCAAAAAGAAACAGAAAGAGAGAGAAAAAAGAAAGGAGGAAGGAAGGGAGGGAAGGAAATGAACTCGAAAGGTGGGACGGAAGAAAGGACAGGAAAAGACAGAGAAAGAAAAGAAAGATTAAGGAAAGAGGAGAGGAAGGGTAGACGGGGCAGGGGAGGGAAAAATCAAACGCAGAAGGAAAAAGAAACTGAAAGGAAATGTATATGGTGTTATCTGGTCCTTCGCTAAGTTAAAGGCAAATAGAGGGGGAAAGGTTAAGAAAGAATATACATGATTAAACTAATCAAAGAATGACAGTAGTTTCTGCTTTTGGAGAAAGCAAGATATATAAATACAATAATGTATTGTATTCATCACATTGGAACAATTACACAACCATAAGAAGAAAATGAGTCAGTGAGTGCAGAAGGGACGCAGTGACGGATACAGGAGTGAACCATTAGATCACAGCAATGGTGAAGCAAACCATTCTGCTATTGATGGAGCCTCGAGGATAGCATCCACATTCTGTCACAGAAGACAGTTGGACTTCAGGATGTTCAGGAAAAGTAGAGAACACTCTTCATGTTCCCTGGGAAATCAGTGCAAAGCAGAGTCCAACAGAGTCAATATGGCAACAGTTGCATTTACCAAATACCAGCATGGATACTGTGGTTCACTAATTACCACAAAATACTGGGTTCTTCATAATGATAATTATTTAACTCAAACAACTAGTCTTTATTATCAGACTGAGACCTTCTTGAGTTTTGGTTTAATGACAGTACCAGTAAAATATTTTAATTTGTTTGTTTCCAAGGAGGAGAAATGTGAATGACATTCTGGGGCTTTTATGTACCTTTAAACCTCCTTACTTGGTGAGATAAAAAGCTGGCAACCCTTTGTGCATCTCCATGTTATTTTTAAGTTTTATGGATCCTAAAATCCCATGTCCATGTCCTGTAGCTTCAGATATGGAACACCAACCCACGTTCGCAGAGGCTGGGAGGACAATAACTTAGAAATCTGGAGGAGTACTACAAAAGCTATGCATTTAGAGGGATAAATAAATAAAGAAATTCAGGCAACTGATATAATTCACCAATAATCTGGTAGGCTGGCCTTTTGAATTAAAACCTGTGCTGTAAATTGAGGCATAGAAGCAGGCAAGAAGTGGACTTGACAGGGAGACAAGACTATTTTCAAGGTTGCCTCTTGTGACTCTGGAAAGCATATGATTTTCTTTCAACTACTTTATGTTTATTATCGTAAAAAATAATTTTAAAATTACAGGATTGCAAAATCTAAGAACATAATGCTGAAGTTATTAACTATTCCTCAAGTTATTAATACCGACCTTTGAAATTAAATGTTCCCTTTTGTTCCTTTTCCTCTTGAAAGAAACAAGAATAACTTCCCATTTGTTTGCTATTCATGATGGTAAACCTAAAAATAATTCACGTTATTAGTATAGGCTTAGTTCTCAAACCTTCTTAATGAAAATAAAAAGACTTAACCATTAATCAAAATTTTAAAATAGAAATAATTCTGTAAATATGCAAGCGTTAGCATAACATTCAAGTGGATGCAAAGGAAAGAATGCTGCATCTGCAAAAATATTTAGAATTAAGCTACTTTTGATGAGCAAGGTAGGTTAAAATTTGTATACTCACCTGTACTGGGTATATAGGGTGCTTCCTGTTGCATTGACAAGATAATTATTTTCAAGTAGCTCATCGTCTTTTTTCCAAGTCACATTTACTGCATTCAGATCCCCAGATGTTGTGAACTGGCATGTGAGTTTTATGTTAGAAGCCCTTTCTAAAGTGATGTTTTTTTCTACTGGCATACTAGAATGTTCTGTTAGCACAAAAGAAGGCAAAATATGAAAGTTACCATTTGGAGGAACCTAATATATAAAATCTTTATTAACAGTAGTGCTTTACTCACAATTTCTTAATGTAACATTCATGTGAAGAATTATTCCTCTATCAACATAGTTGGTTCCCTTTCTTACTCCCTTTTATATGAACACCTAAAGAAAAGTTTTGATCCAACATTAATACAGTCAAAAAAACCTAAGGCTGTGATATTTATCTCCTTAAGCTCTGTACTGAGCAGGATATAGGGTAGAGAGTACCCTAAAACATGTGCCTTATGCTCTGACAGTGTAAAAACAGCACAACTGTAAACACAAACACACACTCATGGGTGACAATGGAGTGTCTGTTTTAACACTTTTGAGTAATCATTTTGTTGGTAGTTATTACAAGAATGTTTTGTGTGTAACATGGATTAAAGTGATATATTATATTCTAACCATTCCTAGATTTCTTAAGAACCTGGCTGGGCTCCGAGGCTCATGCCTGTAATCCCAGCACTTTGGGAGATTAAGGTGAGTCGATCACAAGGTCAGGAGTTCAAGACCAGCCTGGCCAAGATGATGAAATCCAATCTGTACTAAAACTACAAAAAAAAAAAAAAAAAAAAAAGCCAGGCGTAGTGGCGGGCACCTGTAATCCCAGCTACTCGGGAGGCTGAGGCAGAGAATTGCTTGGACCCAGGAGGCAGGGGTTGCAGTGAGCTGAGATCACCCCATTGCACTCCAGCCTGGCCAACAGAGCAAGACTTTGTCTCAAGAAAAAAAAAAAAAGGACCTGTAGGGACATAAGTACGGGGCAGAGAATTTAAATAAGCATCCTGTAGTTCTGAATTTTAACTAAATTTTGAATATCAGTATGAATTCATGAGGTGTTTATCTTAAAAGAAAATAAGGAAAACCACACACACACACACACACACACACACACACAGAAGGGTCCAGAATATGCCACGATAGCATACAAATTATTTTTGAGCAGAAGGCATTTGAGTTCCTGAAATCTCTTCTCTGACCAAAAGCAGAACCTTTCAAAGGAATTCCAAAAAACCTCCACTGCCATAAATCCCTCCCTAGGAGTAATAAGGAAGATGGACTCTTATCACTGAAAATGGTAAGTCTTCACACCACATCTAAACAGACACTGTCACAAAATTATCACATCTTCCACCTGTTATCTAAATTGCTCATTTGTCTTTCCAAAAACTCATTCATTTTTCCATAAGCAGTCCCTGCCCTTACCCAACTAAGATGGCATATAAGCCCCCAAATTTTAACTGCCCCTTTGAGCTACAGTTTTCTAACTTCCATCCATATGTAATTAAATATGCTTCCATCTTTTGTCAGTTTAATTCACTGTGCCTGAAATTGACAGAAAAAGATATAATGGTTAGGACTCCCCATCCTTCCACTCCAACCCCAATTCCAAAGTCTGGTATTTCAGGACCTCTGACCCAGTAGGCAAGTACAAGCTTTTTTTTTCCTTTTTTTTTTTTTTTTTTAACCAGCATCCTAGATTTCTACTGCAGGTCCAGTAGAGCAAGAGCAGTAAAGCTTCTATTTGTCTTTTCTTTCTTCAGTTTAAACCTCAGGTTCCCAACCACTGACTATTCAACAATACTCTCTCTCTCTCTTTCTCTCTCTCTCTCTCTCTCTCTCTCTCTCTCAGGGAAAACATGTAAAACTAACTTTAATTTTCAACAGTAGTAAATAAAGAAAAAATATTAAGCCTGTGCTTTGTTTGTCCTACACTAACTGTACCTGGCTAACCAAACAGAAGAGAAAGTAAACTTTATAGAAAAATTCTAGCAAATGAATAAAAAAGAAATCATATAAATATACCACAATGATGCTGCAACCCCTAGTGAATCATGGATCTAGGCATTTTCCATCTACTGATGCAATAATTTCAAGAACAGAATTACGTCTCTCTTGATGAAGACTACCCCATTATCTAGGCTATAATCTTGTCAAAAAAGATGTTGGAGGAGGTTTCTGAAATGGATTAAGTCTCTGGATCCAATTCCCAGTTTACGGGAAATAGGGATTATGGAAGAACACATTAAACTACATTCCATGAAAGTAATCAACAAAATCCAGATTGCAGGAAAACTACAAAATGAACGATCTGGGCAGGGCAGGGTGGCTCACGCCTGTAATCCCAGCACTTTGAGAGGCTGAAGCAAGCGGATCACCTGAGGTTAGGAGTTCAAGACCAGCCTTACCAACATGGAGAAACCCCATCTCTACTAAAAATACAAAGTTAGCCAGGCGGGGCGGCTCATGCCTGTAATCACAGCTACCTGGGAGGCTGACGCAGGAGAATCACTTGAACCCTGCAGGTGGAGGCTGCAGTCAGCCCAGATGGCAGCATTGCACTCCAGCCTGGGCAACAAGAGCAAAACTCCTTCTCAAAAAAAAAAAAAAAAAAAAAAAAAAAAAAAACGAGGGGAGGTAGCGGTGGGGAAAAGTGGACAGGAAGGCGGGAAATGAGAGGCCTGAAAAGTTACAGTGAGCTGGAGCCGCTGGAGGACCTGAGGAAGAAGCAGAAAAACCTGTGAATAATAAGGCTGTTTCTTCCAGTAATGAAGGGGAAAGTTCCAGTCATAGCACTGAGACGCAGTCAGCTGAAGAAGCTGCAGACCTCCCAACAAAGCCTACAAAGATCTCCAAGTGTGGATTTCCCATAGGTCGTCAGACAACAAAAAAAGCATCAGACATATCCATCAAACTTGGATCAAGTAAGCCTTAAACCGTTCCAACTCTTGCTCCAAAAACTTTCAGTAGCAGCAGCTTTGAATGAAGATGAAGATAGTGAACCAGAGGAAATGCCTCCGGAAGCAAAGATGAAGATGAAGAATATAGGAAGAGATACACCAATATCAGCTAGACCAAACTCCTTCAATAAAGGAAAGCATGGGTTTTCTGATAACCAGCAGCTATGGAAGTAAAATATAAAATCTCATCTTGGAAATGTCCATGACCAAGACAATTAAACGATGTTTTCAAATTGGGATGTGGGGCGGATGTAAAGTTAAAAGGAACAGTTTCCTTTTTTAAAGAATGGTATAAGACTATCTTTGGAGCTGCTTTTTCTTTTCTTTTTCATTTTTTTTTTTTTAAAGATTGAGTGGTACACTAATAAATTAGAGTTTCAAATTAGAGGTAATTTATGTTTTATATACAGATTTTAAGACATTTGCTAATTTTGTTGTTTCATGTGATTAGTTTCCAAAGGTTACAGATAATAAAGAAATCAGAAATGATGCCTTTTTGAGAATTGCATGTTTTTTTTAAACACAAGCATTAGCACATTAAGAGAAAAACAGAAAGTATTGCCAGGCTGGGCGCAGTGGCTTACTCCTGTAATCCCAGAAGCAAAGAGAAAGATGAAGAATATTGGAAGGGATAAACCAACATCAGCTCCCACTTTGGGAGGCTGAGGCAGCAAAGTGAAACCCTGTCTCTACTAAAATACAAAAAAAATTAGCTGGGTGTGGTGGTACGTGCCTGTAGTCCCAGCTACTTGGGAGGCTGAGGCAGGAGAATTGCTTGAACTTGGGAGGCAGAGGTTGCAGTGAGCCGAGATCGCGCCACTGCACTCCAACCTGGCGACAGAGCAAGACTCTATCTCAAAAAAGCAAACAAACAAACAAAAAGGTTATTATCATTTTAAAACTGCAAGCAGTTACTCTCTTAACTCCCTTATTACCTAAACTTGTCTAGCTCCTAGGAACAGCCTTACAGAGAGATGGAGTATTGTATTGGGAGGAAGATGCTACTGAACTATTGACTGAAAGTAAATTTAGATAAAATTAAAATTCCTTATGGGCATTTGTTTTGTTTCAAGTCATCATAAACTAGGTATTGCATTGCTATCAGTGGATACATATGTTTATCTCTTAAAAGGATTTTTTTTTTTACGTAAACTGTTTAATATTTGAAATAGCCCACTTCGCCTTAATGGGTCTTGTCTATCTTCATTACTCTTCAAAGAAAAACCGTTTGCTACCAAAGTAAATCAGTATTTTGAATGTGCTTCTCTTGTTTTTTATTAGCTAGTTCCTGTAAGAAATTCCACCAGAACTTGAGGCACATCATAAGGAAGCTGCTTCTTTTAAAATACAAACCATCACCAAAAATTGAAATGTATATATTGTTTATATATTTGGCTCTTTTTATTTTTTAAAAGGTATAAACATACAAAAAAATTTTAACTTTGTATGAAGGTGGAAAACAAGAAGATGCGCTTTCTGTAACTTTAAGGATGTAAATTACTAACTTGTGAAACACAATTTGAATTGAACTTAACTATCAGCTTTCTTACCAGAAAAATTACATGGTTTATTTTAAATGTATACATACTGACCAATGGCCTCTCAAAAAGCACATTTTAGATACTGAAATGGAAAGAAAATTCATCTTTAAACATATTTTGGTATCTCACCACATACACTTTGTTAGATTGTGTATTGTAGGGTGTTTGGTTTTGTATTTTTGTATTATATATGAACTTTTTTTTTTTAATGTGACAGTTAAACACACCTTTAAAAGCATAGTCACAGACAAAAGAAACATACAGTATAAATATCTCCTTGAAAATTCCTACAGTATTAAATCTGGAGGCAGCTTCAGACTGTTTTATTGGTGGTAACTGCCCGCTGAGCTCTTTTAGACAGTAACAACTCCAAAGACACAGCCTATGTAAATTCCTAACACTTTGTTCACTAGCATTTAAGTTTAGAATAAGCCCCATGTAAAACAATAGAAATTTATGTAGAACTCTTAGTTCTTACATGATTTAATTATATCAGGATACGTGAATTTTGCCTTACTTTAATGTAGGCAAACTATCCATTTTCTTGTTTGTTAAAATAACATACCTCTCCTACATATTCTTTTCTTGACCCAAATGAAATATTAACCTAAGGTCAAGCTGGGAGAGAGAAATGACTGGGATGAATGTCTTTACTAAAATACC